TTGTCCCTGTTAGAATCAGGCTGCATATATTTTCTGTGATTCCTTTGTCCCTTTGATTTAAACTAGTACACCTCCTATTGCCTTTCCCACTCAGCATGAAATTGAACCACTTTCAGTTGAGATCTTATGGGAACACTTTTGGTCTATGCACTTTCCCCTCAGACCGTGCAAACAGTCTTGGAAATGTAGTTGTTTGCTAAACAAGACTGATACAAAAGCATCAAAACATTTACCCAGCAAAGCTATGAGAAATCCCATTTCCTACCAGTCAGTTAAAAGCTGATTAAATTTAAATTGTCAAATACTTGACAACTATTAGAGCAGAAATATACTTTTCACAATTTTTGTTGTTGTTAAGATGGAGCCATAAAAGTTCCCTAATAAAAATTGCCTCTGATTTAAAGAAGGAAAAACCATAAGGCCACTCAAATGCTTTTAGGATCTTTTTGGTATCTGTTTATTTGTGAATCGCTGTGAAATTATTGCTTTTTCTATGGAATCCTCATAATCCCATTTAGCTTTGACCTGTGCTTCTACTGGTCTTTGTTAACTACCATGCACCTTAAAGGCTCTGTGGTTAAACTGTGGCCTCTCTTTCTGTTGAAATAAATTCAGAGATATTAACTCTGGAGGTTTCCTGAAAAATACCATGCTGCAATCAAAATCCTTTTTTGTCTTTCTTGTTTTTTTAAATAAAATTTGGTTAGGATCTTAGAAACAGAAACAACAGCTAGCTATAAAGTGTTGTTACTTTTAAAAAATGGGAGTGGTGGGAGAAGAAAAAATTGGAAGCACTTTGAAAAACAACAAAGCTATCTGTCTGTTTCTCTGGTTTCTAGGCCCATAACCTATTGCAGAGTTTTGAATTTCTGGCACAATTCCTTTTCTTATGCAAAAGTACAGAGATCCACAGAGGAGAATAGCTACAAGTTCCCCAGAGTCCACCTGTTTCTCATTAACTGGCAGTTAAAGTCTCAGTAACTCGCTCTGATACATTTGTAGGAAAAATAAAAAACAGTGGTGGGAGAAGAAAAAATTGGAAGCACTTTGAAAAACAACAAAGCTATCTGTCTGTTTCTCTGGTTTCTAGGCCCATAACCTATTGCAGAGTTTTGAATTTCTGGCACAATTCCTTTTCTTATGCAAAAGTACAGAGATCCACAGAGGAGAATAGCTACAAGTTCCCCAGAGTCCACCTGTTTCTCATTAACTGGCAGTTAAAGTCTCAGTAACTCGCTCTGATACATTTGTAGGAAAAATAGAAAACCTTTCTTTACTTATGGTTGCTTGACAATACAGCCTTGTGTATGCTGCGTTATTTACTGCACACATACCTAGCAACCAAATGAACAGTTCAACAACATAAAAAGAACTGCCACCAGACAGGAAAAAAACACTCAGCAGAGAGGCGGGGTCCTCTTTGAATTCAAAGGCTGGAAGGAACAATTGGTGAGTGATGGATTGACAATTACTCCAGCTGTGAAAGTCCTTCCCAGTCACACAAATTATAAACAGCATGAGAGGTTACAAATAAAACTCCAACATATTTTGCATACTTGTGGTTAGAAAATAGCTTAACATGAAGGAGTGTGTGCTCAGCTTAACAGGAAGTGGGGTGTCCTGATTGCTGCTGAGAGTTATAAGTAGTAGTTGTGAGTTCTGGGAAGGCCTTTTAATTGCTGACACCTAACAGAGCACAGCTGAAGAATAAAGCTGAGGCAGGCTGTGATGGGCAACTTCATTCAGCATCAGCAAGGAGAAGATGATTGGCTGGGGCAGAGCCAATCATGACTTGCCAGGTGGTTTGAAGAAAAGTAAAAAGGAGCTGTTGGGGAGTTAACCATCAGAGGGAGGTTGATACATAGTTTACCAGCAAAGTAGTGTGGGTTTCCAAAATATAATTGTCTATTGTAGTTACATTATTAAGAAATAACTTGTAGTTAAAAATACTAACACAAGAAATTGCATGGCTGAGAATTGTGCCATGGTAGCCATTCTGCTTCATAAAATAAAATGCATTATTTTTTCTTTTACAATTGAATCAGTTTGGCTCTCATGTTTTAGACTTAAGAATAGCCCAGAAAAGTGACTGGAGAGTTGGAAAACTTATCAGCCTGGTGGGCTGATTGTATATTTTGGTAGCAGTGATGGGATACAAAGTATTCAGTAGAGGTTTTTGTCTTTTTAAAAAAGCCAGGAGAAGTCTGGTGGTGGATTTAGTGATGGATTTAGTAGATTGATCCTAAGTAGTACATTTAGAGGCCTGTGTGGAGGAGTACAGTCTAAATATCTAAGAAAGATTTTGTAGCTCCTGAAGTGCTTTGGGTCAAATCATGTGGAGTAGGATTTATAGACATGGTGGCTGGACTCAGGAAAGAGTTAAGAATTTATTGTAAAGGACAGTTAACCTGTCAACTAACATGGTTGTCTGAGGTATTTATTTATGGCATTGGTAGAAGAACCGGTGGAAAGCTGGAGGAAAGACCAAGTTAATTAGGCAGTGTTCTCCTGAGATAAATGTTGGGTAATGTAAGAAGAGAATGGAGAAAGAAAACTTAAGTCAGCAGAGAGCATTCTTTGAGTTAAAAATCCTGAAGAAAAAGTAGTAGGAGAATTGCTGAAAAACTGATTTGAGCTTAACCGCTATTAGTACAGTAGATTCCTGAGGTAAAAGTTTTGGATAGAGTAAGGAGTCATTGTGAAACCTTAGCCTGTAAACATAAACAAGTGTCAGGATCAGTCTGAGTATTTCCTGAGGTAAATGTTTTAAGGTAATAGTAAGGAAATATGAATACATGCCTCCTGAAAGGACAAAATTCAGGAAGTAGACCAAGCTGATATTGAGAGATTGGATGGGGTTACACCCACAAGCCATGTGGTTAGTGGGAGCCCACAGGATCTGGAATTGTGGAAACTTGAAAATAAATTGGAACAGGAAAAAGAAATAAGATTAAGAGAACTGGAAACTGAAAAAGAAAAGTTGGAACAAGAAAAAGAAATGGAAAAGATAAAGTTAAGGGAGAAAGAATTAGGAAAGGAAAAGGAGATTAGATTAAAAGAGTTAATTTCAAATAAGGATGAGGGAATTAGAAACAGCAGCCCTATCCTCAAATACAGTGGACCCTTGACTTACAGACGGTTTGACTTACAGACTTTTTGACTTGAGAACCGCCTTCCAATATGGATTAAGTCCTCAAGTCAAGACCCCACTGTAATAATAATTCAAATACTAACAAAACTAATCCTCCTCAGATTGACTTAAAGAGATTCCCTAGATATTACAAGAGAGGTAATGTTGAATAGTTCCCCTCAAGCTTTGAGAGGACTTGTGTTAAAATTTGTATTAAGGATGGAGGCAGAATGGGATGTCTTAGATCACAAATTAGTGGTGGAACGAGCAGAGATGTATGGGGGAGATGAAACAAATATTTGGTGTAATAGCTGAACACCACAGAAGGGAGCTAAGAAAAATTCAGAAAAAAAGAAGAAACTTACATACAGATTAAGTGCAGGTTGGATTATTTATTAAACAATTGGATAGAAGGATCAGGAGTGAAAACCAAGGGAATTCTAGTTAATTTAATAGGGCTGAAACAATTTTATACAATTCCTTATGACTATAGATGGCATATACAAGATAAAATACCTCAAACTGTCACTCAGGCTGTAGAAATGACTGACAGGCTAGTGGCCCTGAGAGAATTTAGGCCTCTCTGGTTCAGTGAGAAGAAAACTGGGAAAAATAGGTCAGAAGACAAGACCAGGGAAACCTCTGAAGGAGAGAAAGTGGGGCCCAGAGAGAGATAAACTCATCTGAAGGAGAGAAAGTGGGGCCCAGAGAGTTAAGCTCAGGATAACGAGGGAAGTACAAGAGAAAAACAGTTGGCTAGAGAAATGGAGAAAAAATTGCTTTTTATGCCAAAAATCTGGGCACATCAGTTATAACTATTCAGAGAAAAATGGCAAAGAGAAATCTTGTCATGGTCACGGTCCCCTAAAGGGGAACCTTTACCTTATCATATAATCAGTGTCATCTGCCATTTCTTTAATTGTTTTCCCCCATACTAAGAATGACAAGGGTACCCAGTATTGTGCTGTGGATAGAGTAACAGGCTAAGACTCAGAAGACCTGGGTATGATTCACTGGGAGTGCAACTCCTTAAACACCTCACTTACCTTGAAAACCCTATTAGGATTGCTATAAGTCACATCTGGTTTTATAGCCGATAACAACAAAAGGATGCCAAAGGATCCTCAGAGGCTATCCTTTTGTTGAGGGGGGGATTGAAGGAAAATAATTCTAAATCACTGTTCCCCCCCTTCCCCCACACCAAACCATGGACATTCCTAAATCCAAATGTAACACACACAACCCCACCCCCCAAAAAACACATCCATTTATAATCTTAAAATGGTTGAAATCAGTATTTGCCAAGACCATATGGTCATGCCAGGTACCCAATATGGTGTAATGGACAGAATGTTAGAGTAGGACTCAGGAAGCCTGAATTCGAATCCCTGCTCAGTCATGGAAATTCACTTGTGTTGCTATAAGTTCAGTTCTGATTTGATTGCTTATAACACATAAGGTCAGGCTATTGTTCTGATCATTGCACCCTTTTCCCTTGAGTCTATCTCCCAGAGTTTTGTTTTTGTAAATAAAGCACACATTATGACAATCATGTGTTATCTGATTAACTTAAAAAAACCTTACAGGGCAAATCTATGCCTATTTACTCAGAAGCGATTACTGTACATTGTATTCAATGGAGCATATTTCCTAGCAAGTGTGTTGGAGATTGTAGACTAAACCCTTCAGTGGAGTCTGTGCATTTCTCACCTCTTGGAGAAATCAGAGGGACGATTAACAATACACACTTGAAATTAAACATTATTATAGGAAAAGAATTTCAGTTAAAACTTTAAGATAACACAAACTACTTCAGAAAGTTGCACTTGATAATAATTTGAAATGTAACATTGTTAATTCATAGGAGTAGTTTATTTAAACGTTGCTTATACAAGTAAAAAGTGAACAAATTTTAAAAAGAACTATACAATAAAAAACTATATAAGAAGACTGAAATTGGCTGAAATCACACTGATTTTCGGCACATGCTTAAATGACATCAGCAGTATTTAAAAGTTCTTGAATGGTTGAATCATGCTTGTACATTTTTTGAAAATTCAAAGAAAATATGACATAAACAGCTTATTGCCCAAGAAACATTCCAAATGAATTCTATGTTAGATTTAGCTTGCTGGTCCTTCTATCTGTGGATAATGTCCCGTCCTGGTACTGGCCTATTGAAAGTAATGTTCTTCAACAGAAAGGCAGCATCTACTATACAAAGAACACAGAGGATCAGGAAAAACACCTGCAAACAAAGAGAAATTGTTTCAGACCTATTAAATAAAACAGCATATTGAATGTTAGCATTCTTGAATCATTGTCATGATTTGGGCCTACATTACTGCAAGAACTGCAGCTCAGCAGTTTCATTTTGATTTGTTAGTGTTCCATTCATATTTGTTAGGGTTCCATTCATATATTTGCTATTTATTTACAAGGAGCCTTGTGGTGTAGTGGTTAAACTGCTGTCCTGCAGTCAAGACTCTGCTCGCTACCCAAGTTTGATTCTGACAGGATCAGGTAGCCAGCTCAAGGTTGACTCAGCCTTACATAATTCTGAGGTTAGTAAATTTGCCCAGTTCACTGGAAGCAATGTATAATTAAAGTGCCAATTACCCAGAATGTAATTTAAGCACTATAGGACATTATATAAGCAGCACACTTGGCTTTACTGTGATAAAGAAGAAATTAAACTGTTTCAAGTACCCATTCAATAAAGTACCCTCCTTTTTACTACCATTTCCCTGAGAATAAGACCTAACCTGAAAATAAGCCCTAGTGTGATTTTTTTAGGATGGTCGTAATATAAGCCCTACTCCAAAAACAAGCCCTAGTTAAGTGAAACCCCGCCTTCCACCCTTGTGCAGTATTGTGCAGCAAACAGAAGATGACTGTAAAATAAAACATCCCCTGAAAATAAGCCCTAATGTGTTTTTTGGTGCAAAAATTAATATAAGACCCTGTCTTATTTTTGGGGAAACACGGTATGGTGACTCTCACCTTGGTTTGACTTCTTGAAAAGCGTATTCTGAGAAATAAAATGTGGAATGCCAGGGAGATGGCTAATTGATATACTTAATGGATTTGGACAGTAGCAGAAGCACCAAGTCCACAAATAAATAATACTCATATCTTCCAAACATGAAATATTTTAAGTAGTAGGCTATTGCTTATTTCTAATATGAACAATTACCAGTTTTGCTGGCACAAGAATAACCAAATATGAATGGAACACTTCCATGTGAATAGAGCCTGTCTGGGAATGAAGATCATCAGAGGAGGCCTTTCTCTCTGTCCAACCACCTTCACAGGTGCGTCTGATGGGGACGGGACATGGGAGAGAGCCTTCTCTGTTGCTGCTCCCACACTCTGGAACTCCCTCCCTCAGAAAGCAAGGCTGGCCCCATCTTTGCTGTCTTTCCGCAAACAGGCAAAGACCTTTCTTTTCAGGCAGACCCTGCCATCCCTCAATTTTTAGGAAGCTAATTAAGAAAGAATTATACAAAGCTGCCTTCTACTAGTGGTGAAAATTGATCTGAGATGTTCACATGGGTTTTTTGTACAGTGGTGTCCCGCATAACGAGCGATTCGTTTAACGACGAATCCGCATAGTGATGTGTTTTTTGCGATCGCAAAAGTGATCTCATTGCGATGTTTTAAATGGTAAAACATCGCTTTGCGATGATTGGTAAGCAAAACGATTACGAGGCCTTCCTCTTGGTCCCATCAACTTCACAGGTATGTTTGGTGGGGACATGGGAGAGAGCCTTCTCTGTTGCTGCTCCCACACTCTGGAACTCCCTCCCTCAGAAAGCAAGGCTGGCCCCATCTTTGCTGTCTTTCCGCAAACAGGCAAAGACCTTTCTTTTCAGGCAGACCCTGCCATCCCTCAATTTTTAGGAAGATAATTAAGAAAGAATGATACAAAGCTGCCTTCTACTAGTGGTGAAAATTGATCTGAGATGCTCAGATGGGTTTTTTGTATTTCTATTTAAATATGGTTGCTACTAGTGGTGAAAATTGATCTGAGATGCTCAGATGGGTTTTTTGTATTTCTATTTAAACATGGTTTTATGTTCTTTTTGTATTTTTATTGTGTTTTATTACACTTTTAAAAAATTGTATGATTTTATTGTATTTTGTGAACCACCCAGGTAACATTAACGGCGCAGTATAGAAGTGAAAATAATTAAATAAATAACCTAAAATGTACCCTCCACACTGTTTGGAATATCCTGGTCCCACACAGACTGAGATTCTTTTGGTGGATAAATATGTCAGTCAAACAGTAACACTGTTGTTATTGTATACTTTCTTACTTACTCCCCCAACTATATGTTCAATTATTATCTTCTTTATCGCTGCGCACAGGCCTGCAATGAGGAGAAATAGCGCTGATACCAGAGAGTTGAAAGCATCCTGAAACACATGACAAATAACACATTTTCATAGCAATTCAGAGACTAATGCTGACTGCAGAGGTTCTGCTGACTCAGAACACTCCCACCCTCTCTCCACTTCCATTTATGCTGAGTAGTACTCAGGGCTAGTCAAGGTATCTTGGCATCTGATACAGAAAACCCCATGACTGCTTCTCTGCCATGGCACTAAAAATCTAGTAATATCTAAAAGACCATTCACTGCCCTTTTATATGATCCCAAATCAGTTGCCTATGGGACTGCCTTAGTCTGCCTTGCTACAGAGCCAGTCGTGTGACCCAGGACAGCCAAGGGAACAAAATCTTTAGGTAAATATTCTGCAAACCATATAAATATGATTATACTATTGTATATATTGATGGGCTACATCCATCACTGCCCAATCTTCCTTCCCACCAGTCATTTGCATCAACAATTCTTACAGACCTGAGAGCAGAAGACACTACCCTTCCATGTGGAGGTTTCTGTTTTGGCTATTTAAGTATAGGCACCTGAGCCAAAATCCTGTTTGTTCTTTCCATGTGTGCAATGGTTCACTGCATGCACAGTTCTCTTTTTGATCCAATTGCACAAAGGGGTATTCACTACGCCCTTGTTCATCTGTAAGCCCCCTTGTTATCTCTGGCTTGCATTAACTGCAAACTATAGAATTATGGAGCAATTATGAAGCGTTCCACACATGAGCTAACTGGATTCTGCCCTAGTAATATGTTATGTGCCACCAAGTTGGAATGAACATACAGCAACCCCGATAGGGCGTTTTAGGAAAGTAAGATATTCAAGGAGTGACTTTATCAGTGCCAATCGGGCCCTATGAATTTCTACGGCTGGGTGATGATTCAAACCCAGGTCTTGACTCCTAGTCCAACATTCTATCCACCACATGTGCTATTAGCAAAGCACTAAAACCAAGACACAGTGAAAGATGTGCAAATAACATGTACTACAAAGATATATCAAAAAGTCTTTGCAATTGTTTTTATTCTCTAAAAAACAAAGAGCATTTCAACAAGGCTTTTAAATACAGTATGCCCTGATAATTGCATCACTACAGAACACCATATCCCGTTTTCTTTGAATCTCCCTGCCTCCCAGTCCACCCCCACAGAGCGACACTATGTTTGTGTATCATTATTCATGTTTTACTTTCATTGTAATTAATCAAAATGTGTAATTCTAGAAAAATCAATAATATACTCTGACTATGAATAAGCTCAAATGTTATACTGAACAGCACTCAGATTTGGGCAGAAGAACAAGCAGGTTTTAACACTCAGAGTACTCTTCATCTAGAAAACTGTGGTAAGGGTCACCATAAATCAAAATTGGCTTGATGGCCCATAATTATAATAAAGTTGTTTGAGATTGGGGGATTGTCTGTAACTACATACAGGCTAGCAAACAAGGGCTTGAGAGAGTGAAATATTGTTGTCTAGATCAGGTTGTAGATCACTGATGATGTTTGGTCATTTTCTCTTCTGGGTCTGTAGGTTGATTCTAGGTATCTGTCTTACCCACAAGTAGCCAGATTAATGTGACAGTGAAACCAAGTGGCTTTCTATCAATACTGCTCCAAGTACTTAATTATTTTCCAACATCCTAGAGCAGAACCCTGTCTCAAAAGAACAATATTTTCAGACTGCAGGCAGGATTTTGCTGTGTTGTGTGGAACTTTGTATACTGGGTGCTTAAGAATAGCAATACATACTGTAGATCTATTGCAAATAGATGGCTTGCATAGCTTTGTCAACCGGAACATCCTCCATTGATTTCTTAATCAATATGGACTAATACTTCCTAAGAGGAAGAGTTTGGTAGAATTTAATCACATTACAAGTAATATCAGCAAGTGACTGTTACAAAAGCATAGGCGTTATTGTGCAAATTAATACTTACAGCCAAGGGCCAAAACAAAAACTTCAGTGTTTTTTGGAGACTTAGCAGATAGAGTAAAAAGAATAATAAAGAAATGACAAATTCTATGATTGCAAGTGTTAGATATGCTTCATGGATTCCTCCAACTCCGAAAGTGATGGCTGCCATGAAAGCAAAGACCTGCAAGAAGAAAGGAGAGAATGTTTACTTGGCCTCACCACTATCTTGCTAAAAATATTCACTATTGCCAAGTGATCTACTGAGAAATTACTGAAATAGTCAAACACATATATTATTTGATTGGATTTGATCATATGAGAACTCTACCAAAAGTGTACACATTTAATAGACAAATGTATACATCACAGTGTCTGTTCCCACCCCCCAAAAGACTAACGGATATTTTTTTTAAAAGCTTAAACAGATTTTTCCTCATGTTTAGTACATTCCCAGGGAGTATGCAATGGACACAGCAGTTGCTAGTTTGATTCCCCACTGTGCCTCCTTGACAGGGGCTGAACTTGATGACCCACAGGGTCTTTTCCAGCAATTCAGTTCTAAGGTAAGGTTATTATTTTCTCTGCCTTTCTTCCACCACCCTAAAAAATGATGGGAGAGATAAGAGGGAGGAACGATTCTACTTGAGTCTCCAAGTGTGCCTGGGTATGTATTAAACTGGAGACGTAACATACATAGAGGTTGCGAGTTCAATTTCCCACTGTGCCTATTCATTCATTCATGTTGTATGCTGCCCGCACTCTGGAAGAGTCTCTTTGATAGGGTCTCCACTTGATAATCCATAGGGTCCTTTCCAGCTTTGCAGTTCTAAGGTGGTGGTGGTGGTGGTGGTTGTTGTTGTTGTTGTTGTTGTTGTTAAATGGTTTGAGCAACCTTTTCCAGTGTTCATACTGATGATTATGGGAAACATAGTCCAACACATTTCAAGGTACAGTACTGAGTTGGAGAAGATTGGGCAATTTTCCTGTTTATCAGGCAGGTACTCTCTAATCTGTCTTTCAAAAAGTCTAGACATAGACGTCTAAACAAAAAGCCCAACAATAACAAAATCCTCAAACACATTTTTATAAAACAAATAAACAAGGAATCCAGAGTTAAATAACCTCTGTATAATGAAAAGGCTGGACTGGACTGCTGAGGAATATGTGTTATCTAGTTACACATACACACGCTGCACGAGCATGTGTAGTTTTCTCTTTGTGTGTTTTTGTGTGAACATATGTTTGTGTATGAGACAGACAGGCATGAAAAAAATTATTTCACAATTGCATACAGTTTAAAACTCTGATGTCCTATTTGGGGAGAGAGAAGTCTTGATCGTATTTGCCATTTCCTTAACAATGACTAAGGAGTACCTCAACTCTAGAGTGACAGAAAACACTCATTCTTTCATTTTATAATAAACAGAGAAAGGATAGTGGCCACACTGAATCCCCAGCAGTGGCCTCTGGGACAAGCCTGTATCTATCTGGGCCATCCCCATATCGGTTCAATTAACACCCTATTTTGAGCATCCTACCTTGCAGAGTCCATTTCACGGATTGCTGCCTTGTCGTGGCGAAGGGGCTTGAGTAATTCAGAGAAGCTATGGGCTATGCTGTGCAGGGACACCCAAGACGGACAGGTCATAGTGGAGAGTTCTGACTAAATGCGATCCACATGGAGCAGGAACTGGCAAGCCACTCCAGTATCTTTCCCAAGAAAACTCCATGGATAGAAATTAAAGGCTAAAAGATATGACGCTGGAAGATGAGCCCCTCAAGTAGGAAGGCGTCCAACATGCTACTGAGGAAGAGCAGAGGACAAGTAGCTCCAGAGCCAATTAAGTGGTTGGGCCAAGCCGAAAGGACGCTCAGCTGTGGACGTGCCTGGAAGTGAAAGGAAAGTCTGATGCTGCAAAGAAAAATACTGCATAGGAACCTGGAATGAAAGATCTATGAACCTTGGGAAGCTGGATGTGGTTAAACAGGAGATGATAAGAATAAACATTGACATCCTGGACGTCAGTGAATCAAAATGGACGAGAATGGGCAAATTCAATTCAGATGATTATCATATCTACTATTGTGGGCAAGAATCCCGTAGAAGAAATGGAGTAGCCATCATAGTCAACAAAAAAGTGGGAAAAGCTGTACTGGGATACAATCTCAAAAATGATAGAATGATTTCAATAGGAATCCAAGGCAGACCTTTCAACATCACAG